ACATCCACATGCAGAAGAATGAAACTAGACCACTCTCTTTCACCAGACACAAAGATAAACTCAAAATGGATGAAAGATCTAAATGTGAGACAAGATTCCATCAAAATCCTAGAGGAGAACACAGGCAACACCCTTTTTGAACTTGGCCACAGTAACTTGCAAGATACATCCATGAAGGCAAAAGAAACAAAAGCAAAAATGAACTATTGGGACTTCATCAAGATAAGAAGCTTTTGCACAGCAAAGGATACAGTCAACACAACTAAAAGACAACCTACAGAATGGGAGAAGATATTTGCAAATGACGTATCAGATAAAGGGCTAGTTTCCAAGATCTATAAAGAACTTCTTAAACTCAACACCAAAGAAACAAACAATCCAATCATGAAATGGGCAAAAGGCATGAACAGAAATCTCACAGAGGAAGACATAGACATGGCCAACAAGCACATGAGAAAATGCTCCGCATCACTGGCCATCAGGGAAATACAAATCAAAACCACAATGAGATACCACCTCACCCCAGTGAGAATGGGGAAAATTAACAAGGCAGGAAACCACAAATGTTGGAGAGGATGCGGAGAAAAGGGAACCCTCTTACACTGTTGGTGGGAATGTGAAATGGTGCAGCCACTCTGGAAAACTGTGTGGAGGTTCCTCAAGGAGTTAAAAATAGACCTGCCCTATGACCCAGCAATTGCACTGCTGGGGATTTACGCCAAAGATACAGATGCAATAAAACGCCGGGACACCTGCACCCTGATGTTTCTAGCAGCAATGTCCACAATAGCCAAACTGTGGAAGGAGCCTCGGTGTCCATCGAAAGATGAATGGATAAAGAAGATGTGGTTTATGTATACAATGGAATATTCCTCAGCCATTAGAAACGACAAATACCCACGATTTGCTTCAACGTAGATGGAACTGGAAGGTATGATGCTGAGTGAAGTAAGTCAATCAGAGAAGGGCAAACATTGTATGTTCTCATTCATTTGGGGAATATAAATAATAGTGAAAGGGAATATAAAGGAAGGGGGAAGAAATGTGTGGGAAATATCAGAAAGGGAGACAGAACATAAAGACTCCTAACTCTGGGAAACGAACTAGGGGTGGTGGAAGGGGAGGAGGGCGGGGGGTGGGGATGAATGGGTGATGGGCACTGAGGGGGGCACTTGACGCGATGAGCACTGGGTGTTATTCTGTATGTTGGTAAATTGAACACCAATAAAAAATTAATTTATTAAAAAAAAAAGAAAAGAAAATTCATGCGTCATTGGCCAGGAGTTGTTCTATCATTTTTTTAAAGGAATTTATTTATATATTTATATATTTATTTATTTATTTATTTAATATTTTATTTTATTTTATTTTTTAAAGTAATCTTTATACCCAATGTGGGGCTGGAACTTACAACCCCTGAGATCAAGGGTTGCGTGCTCCCCTGAATGAGCCAGCCAGGTGCCCCATTGTTCCATCATTCTCCCCAACTGACGTATAGACGTCATACATAAATCTGTCTGGATGGATAATCTTTGAAATAATCATTTACATTTTTTTCTTCCTATATTTTTCCTTTTCTTGTACCCTACCCCCTGCCCTTCAAGGAGAAAGCACAGATACTGTTTGCTTTCCCCAGGAAGAGTATTGCAGCAAGGCTGAAGGCAGAAGTTGCCTGCAAAATATTTTCCGTTCTGTCTTTTGTGATTTTAAACTCAAGGGAAGCAGTCTATACCACCTCAAAATATGTCTCTTTGGCATAAGGATTATTTTAGGCTGATTATTATTATTTTTTTAAACAGCAGACATGAGAGAAGCCTTGAAAACCAAGCAGATGTTACCCTTTAGTAAGAAACATTTGCATGTGTAAGAGGAATCTCCATTTGTAAGGGCGCCACTCTCTTTCTACTTAGAAGACAAGGGTGACTCCAAAAACTGTGTCAATGGAGAAAGCAAGGCCTCACGTGTGCATCACAACCCTCCCCTTGATTACTGTGCTTTTCCTGGTCACTGCCCATGATTGATTTCCCCCTACCAGCATCTTTGGTCTTTAGCTGGAGGTGTTATCTGAGGGCATGGATTGGGCCATTTCAGAGAGTTACTCAGTTTTCTTGGGTCTCTCCCATGTACATGGGGTCAGGTGGGGGGGTTGACATGTTACTAAATTTTTGTTTTTCTCTGGTTGATCTGTCTTTTGATTACAAAAGTGTCTTAGTCAAGAATCTAGAAGAGTCGTGGGAAACTTATTTTCCTACCACACAAAACCCACATCCATAGAGGAGTAAAATTTGGGGGTTCTGGAGCAACGAGGACAGCAGCATCCCAAAGATGGTAATAAGTATATAGATGGGGACATGGCCAGCCTCCCAACAGACCCCATGAGGTAGGAATCATTACCTCTGGTTTACAGACCGAACTCTGAGACGGTCCGATGGTGCAGAGTAATATGATGAAACGTGCCCATGACATCATTGAGAAATATGGGACAGATCCTTGTCTCCCGGAGCTGAGCTCATCCATGGACTCTGCTCCTGAGTATTTCTCCAGACTGGGACTCTTACTTCCCCAGAAGAACCTGCAATGCAAGCTTCTCTACCTCATTTCCTTCTCTCCATTTCTTATTTAAATTAAAAAGTACAAAGAGTAGTAAGGATCCTTTTGGGTAGCTTAGGTTTCATCTCAATGTTATGCATGAGATCCAAATAACAGAATTATGTTCTTTGGTTCACATGTCTTTTGTGGTCAGTTGGGCCCACAGACTCTTTTTTTTTTCAACATTTGTTCATTGTGGTGTCTAAATGTGGTCACTGATGGGAGAGACCAAATGATGGGATGGGAGGTCCCAAATGTGGGGCAATGATTGGGGTAGAGGCTGGTGACATTGGTGGTAAAAGAATTGACCTGAGGCAGAACCAAGGAGATGGGCATTACTGAGTCCACCTCAAGGGGGCAGTGGGCAGGACAGCAGAGGAGAGGCTGTCTGCAAGGAGGCCGTGGACAGGAGCAGGGGGAAGGGCAGATGAGTGGGGAGAGAGACATCTCAAGCAGGCTACGTCCAGCACACAGCCCGTGAGGAGCTGGCTCTCACAACCCTGAGATCGTGACTGATGTGAGCCAAAAATCAAGAGCTGGGTGCTTACCCAACTGAGCTACCCAGACACCCCATGGGTGGGGGGCTGTCTGTAAGGGGGAGGATGGAAAGGTATGGACTTCTCCCTTGCTTGGTAACTGTACCTGGCTGTAAGTAGCCTTTGGTTACTTAGGGCTCATGGATATTTCGAGGCGGGGGTCACCTGACGGACGCGTGTGTGTTCAACCTGGTGGCTGCCGAGGGCCCGTTCTGCGTCCCATTGCTCAAGCCTGTTGCCTAAGAACTGCCTCTCCACTCGTGTTTGCCCTTTCTAGTTTAGTCTCCTTAGATGACTGACCGTCTACCGAATAAGAGTTGACCAGGTAGGCGGGGACGGATTTACACGGAGAAAGAATGTTCCTCACGTCCCACGCCTTGAAACCACTTTCAGTTGATTTGCACCCAACTTAGTGATATTTTATCTTGTTATTTACTTGTCTATCCTGATACCAGGCTCCATTCATTCCGCAAATTTCTCTTGAGTCCTCAGTGTGAGGGTGAGGGTCAGGCATAGTTCTGTGGGTTGGGGATACACATTCTCCCCCGCTCTGAGCTAAACAGTCTGGGTCTTCTATGCCGCAGTCTGGATCCCCGGAGGGTATGTGATAGGTTGCTAAGGGGCAGGGAAAAGCTCAGGTAGGATTGTGTTGAATTTTACAGAGAATGAACATATATCTAAATGCCTCCAAGACTCCCATTGCCCGATGTGTGTGTACGTGTGTGTAGCGGTATGAGATGGAACAGACAAAACGGAAAACAAATACAGGGAGGACCAAGTGGAGAACTCAGGGGTAGGTTTCTCCCATGGCTATTTTCTAGAAATAGAGATAGAGACGTGTAGTTTCTAGTTATAAATTAAAGGAGACGAGAACAGTCAATGCAAGATTAAGATTCATCATAAATGATAAAAGTGAGGCTTTAAAAACTCAGCTCTCGATTTAAAAGGGTTAAGTTAGGGCGCCTGGGCGGCTCAGTCAGTTAAGTGGCCGCCTTCAGCTCAGGTCATGATCCCAGGGTCCTGGGATGGGGCCCACATCTCGTGCTCAGTGGGGAGCCTGCTCCTCCTCCCCTCTCCCTCTGCCCCTCCCCCTGCTGGTGCAGGCGCATGCTCTCTCTCTCTCTCTCTCTCTCTCTGAAATAAAGAAATAAAATCTTAAAAAAATAAAAGGGTTAAATTAAACACAAGGAAATCATGCACAGTTGAAGTAGAAAAATAAATTGTTTTGTGGTCTTAGAAAAAACCATTTTCTTCTTCATTGTCCATGGATAGTTTGTCAATTAGAAAGAAAAAGTCAAGGACGCTTGGGTGGTTCAGTGGTTGAGGGTCTGCCTTTGGCCCAGGGCGTGACCCCAGGGTCCCTGGATCGAGTCTCACATTGGGCTCCCCGCAGGGAGCCTGCTTCTCCTTCTGCCTGGATCTCTGATGAATAAATAAATATAATCTTTTTTTTTTTTTTTAAAGGAAAAAGTCCTATTTCTTTCTACCCGAAGAGGGCAAGATCACAGTTTCTTCAACCCTATAGCATGGGAGCTGCTGTTAGTGTGGTGTGCATTCATGTCCATGAAATCTTAACTAGTAAGTCCAGGTTTGTCAGGTTCCGATAACCCGTATTCAACACTTAGCTCACTACTCATTTAATAAAAGTTTACCGTAGCAGCAGGTTTAAAGGTGTCCTCGGGCTAAAGGTCACCTGCGGGCCTGGGACCTGGGCCTCCTCGGAGGTGCCCCCTCGCTGGGGCCCAGCCTCACTGACCTGGGAGTGGAAGCTGCTGTAGGTAGGTGGCAGCACGCGTACACTTTACACTAGCCAGGAATTTAAGCCCCATGTCTGCGGTGTGGGGACAGGCGACTGAATCTTTATGGCCTCCACCCTGTCATCTGCAGAACGGGATAGTGGCGGCTGCAGCTCCTGTGCATGGGGTCCACCCGGTGGGCCGCTGTGGCATCAGCGAGGGCTGGTCGTGCTCCGGAGCCGTCACCGGGATGGGGCGGCCCCAGCTCTTTAGGGGAAGCTGCCATGAGCCTCCATCTCGCTCCCTAAAATGTCACTGACACATCATTCATAGATTTCAAGCGATTCTCTTCTCTGACACGACGCGAAGTTGAAAATTAATGCGATTAGCTGTGCGTCTCCCAGGTCCTGCCTGAAGCCCCAGGTTAGTATCCCCGGGTGCTTGCGGGGGGGCGGGGGGAGGGGCCAGCTTGGGCAGAGGGGAATGTTCTAAAATTGGGTGAAGCAGCCCCGGGCTCCTGGGCGCGCTCCGGGAGGCCGAGCCCCTTCCGCGCAGCGGGACGCGGTCCCTGAGGAGGGAGGGTCGTCGGGTCCCAGCCCAGGTGCGCGCCCATCCCCCCCACCCCCCGGCGGAGGGTCCCTAACCCCGCGGCCCCGCGCTGCGCCCCCTGCGCCAGGCCGTGCGCCTCCCTGTGGGTCGGGGGTCCCGGGCCGCCTGCGCCCCGACTGCGGGGGCCGGGGCGGGGTCGGGGTCCTGCGGGGGGCGGGGCCGGGGTTGGTGCGGGGTTGGGGGCGGGGTCAGGGCCGGGGTCGGGGTCGCGGTCGCCCCACGCAGCCTGGCCGCCCGCCGGGTCTCCGCAGCGGAAGGGGTCGGGTCGGGGTGGAGCCGGATTAGGGTTGGGGTCCGGGCGGGGGTCGGGGCGGGGGTCCGTCGGGGTCCCTCCGGGTCCGGGTCCGGGTCCGGGTCCGGGTCGGGGTCTCCGCCGCGCAGGGGGCCGGGGCGGGAGGCGGACGCCGTCCTGGAGGCGGGACCCCGGGGCAGGCGGCTACCCCCCTCCCCCCTTCCCCCCCCTTCGGCCCGGAGGCTGCGGGGCGCCCGGGGATCCCGCGCAGGGAGGGCCCCGGCGGGGGCGGGCGCGGGGGCGGGGAGCCGGGGTCAGGCCGCCTCTTAAAGGGCCCGCCCCCCGCCTCCCCTCCCCCCTCTCCTCCCTCCCCCCTCCCCTCCCCTCTCCCCCCTCCGCCCGGGCCGCAGGTGAGCGCAGGGGCAGCGGTAGCGGTCTCGGCCGCGGGCGGGGGGTCCTCGGGCCCACGAGCCGCCCAGCCCCGCGCCTCCCCCGCGGCCGGCGGCGTCCCGGGGCGTCCTGCGGCGGCTGCGCTCGGGGCCGGGAGGACCGCACCGCCCTGCCCGCCCCGGGGGCTGCGAGGACCCGGCCCGGGGAGAGCAGGTCAGTGGGGGGGGGCGGGGCCCGGGGGAGCGCGGGGCGCAGGTCGGGGGGGCCGTGCTCGGCTGGGGGGGCTGCGGGGGCCCGGGGCGCTGCGGGCGTGCGGGGGGCAGACAGCGCGGGGGGGGCCTGCGGGACCCGGCGGGGGGCGGGGTTTGCGGGGAGCCCTGGGGGCGCCGGGGAAGTGCGGGGGGCAGGTCAGGGGGAGGGCGTGCTGTGCGCGACCCGAGGGGCGTTTGCGGGGGTCCGGGCGCCGCGGTGTGCAGACTGTAGGTCCGGGGCCCGTGCACGACCCGGCGGGGGGGGGGGGCTGTGGGTGCAGACAGCGCGGGGCGGTGCACGGCGCGGGCGGTGCAGGGTCGCGGGGGCCCCACCCCGTGTCCGGGGCCCGAGCTCCGGGCGCGGCGGCTGCAGGAGGGGGCGTGAGCGCAGCGGGTCCCCGCGGCCCGCGGTCGGGGTCCGGGGTTGGGGTCGGGGTCGGGGCGTGGGGGGCGCGGTCCCAGCTGCAGGAGGCTTCGGGGCCTAAAACTTTGTTGGGGAAGGAAGCAGGAAGCGGGGGGGTGGCGGGCGTCCGCTGGCTCCATCCTTAAATGTTTTCCCCAAAGAGTCCTTTAATGAGCCAGAACTGGGTAATTTCGATTTGCTCCTTTTCTGCGTCCCGTGAACACCTTCCCTTTCCTTGTGACTCCTCTGCGGTCAGCTGCCCGCCCCGCCCGGCCCGGGGTCCCTGCGCTACCTGGTCACCGACCTGAAGGTTCAGGGCGACCCACTATGTGCTGGGCGGCGCTCACCACGCCCCACTATGTGCTGGGCCTGAGCTGCGCGCCACGTCGAGCCGCAGGTGCCCACGTCCAGGGCCGCTGGAGCAGGTGCCTGCAGGGGTGGGGGGAGGTCGCGGCCTTCTGGGCCCTGGGGCTGGCACGCGCCTTGGCGCCTTCCTTCATGGCTGGGACTAGGAAACTTTTCTTTTTTTTTTCTTTTTTAATTTTTATTTATTTACGATAGTCACACACACACACGCACACACAGAGAGAGAGAGAGCCAGAGACATAGGCAGAGGGAAAAGCAGGCTCCATGCACTGGGAGCCCGACGTGGGATTCGATCGTGGGATTCGATCCCGGGTCTCCAGGATTGCGCCCTGGGCCAAAGGCAGGCACTCAACCGCTGCGCCACCCAGGGATCCCCGAAACTTTTCTTGAAAACGGCCCTTTCCTTGGGATGCTCAGGGGGCTCAGCGGTTGAGCGCCTGCCTTTGGCTCAGGACATGATCCTGGAGTCCTGGGATCGAGTCCCGCGTCGGGCTCCCTGTATGGAGCCTGCTTCTCCCTCTGCCTGTGTCTCTGCCTGTGTCTCTGCCTCTATCTCTGTGTCTCTCACGAATAAATAAATAAAATCTTTAAAAGAAAACGGCCCTTTCCACTTGTTTGGCCAACAAAGACAGTTTTACATTTTGTGTCTCTGCTGGAGCTTCTGGACAGAGCCGTGAGTTAACAGGGAAGGTTCCGAAGAGTCTGCTCTGAGAAGCAGCCGTTGCGCCAAGCCGTGTTCTGCATGTATATGGCTATTTAGTCCTTTGTAATATATATTTTTTAAAGATTTATTTATTTATGATAGATGTAGAGAGAGAGAGAGAGGCAGAGACACAGGCAGAGGGAGAGGCAGGCTCCATGCGGGTAGCCTGATGTGGGACTCGATCCCGGGACTCCAGGATCTCACCCTGGGCCAAAGGCAGGCGCTAAACCGCTGAGCCCCCGGGGATCCCTGTCCTTTGTAATATTTATGTAGACTTTACTGTCTTTCATATATGTCTTCATACTCTGCACAGTCCTCTTGCAACATATTCTTTGTGTTCAGGAGAGGATCATAAGGTCAAACTTTACTCATTACACGGACGAATGAGTAGATCTGAGTATGTCCTATCCCGTGCACATTTACTGAATCACAGTATTTGGTTTCCTACCACCCCTTGAATGCTGGGTGGTGGCCTTTGCAAAGCAGTGCCTTTTAAAACTCGGGTAAATCCCTCATGATGTTTGAAAGCTTAGTTCTCTTAAGAGAGTCTCTTTGCTATCGGCATTGAACACACTGTTAGGAATTAGGGCCAAGACCGCCAATGCCGGAAAGGGTTTGCTGTAATGGAGTTGTAGCTACCTTCCTCCCTTGTTTTAAAAGACCCTTTTAATTTCTTAGCGTTCTTCTCTTGCCCTTGGAAGAGTTTGCAGTTATTGGCCATGGTTCTAGTTCATGTAGGTTTCTATTTATTATGGAGAAGACTTTTCCCACAGGGTTTTAGGGCTGCCTCTTGAACCCTCTTGGGGGCTCGGTTTGCAGGACCACAGTCCTGCAGAGGAATCCAGCCGGTGTCACCTGCTTATTAAGGGATTTTGTGCCAATTTGTTGGCACATAATTTGAGAATCTAAGCCTCCCCTTGCCCCCCGCCCCCACCATGGTATACACGTATATAGACAACTATTTCCCCCTAAGTGCTGACCGTGTTCTAAGAATAGCTTTCTTGCCTGGCGCTGAGAGCGAGGACCCGTCTGCAGAGGTGTTTACAGTTTGGGACTCTGCTGCAGTCTTGGTTGACTGAACAGCGAGGCAGGGAAGCCTTGCTGCTCCTGGGACGCTCTCTGTTCATCTGGGCGGCGGGAGGGGCGACCCCAGCGGGACAGGGGGGACCAGCGGTGAGAAGGACTTGCTCCACGACGGTAGTTTCTGTCCTGATGTCCAGTGCGGACCCGTAAACCCGGTCTGGATCCCTTTGCTCTCACCCAGCCATCGGCCGCCCAGCCGCCCAGCCGCGGTCTAGGCTGGACGGGATTGCTCTGCGTGTCCTGTGGAAGCCCAAACGCTCTCAGGGCTGCGGCGGGGACACGTGCTATTGTGACACTTACGAGTCACATATTTCTGGTGGTTCCTGCCCTGTTTCTCTTCATGTTTAATCATCTAGGCTTAGGGGGTTTCCACGATGTGTCTGTAGGGTTAGGAGAAAAGGACGAAAACTCAAGGAGCAACAGCTACAAAGAGATTATTCCCTATTTCCCTATTAACCTGGAAAGTTTTTAGAAATGTTAAACACGCTTGATGTAGACACGTTACTATTAACTGTAAACAGTAGCAAGATTGCCATGTAGCCCCAACTTGCCCTTTTGTCCCTTCTCCCTCTTCCTCCCTTCCTCCCTCTAGTCCTCCTGTCCTGTCTGTCCATCAGTTTGTCCGTCCTTCCTTCCTCCCTTCCTGCCTCCCTCCTTCTCTCTCTTCCTGTCTCGGAAAACACTCTGGAAGCCATTATTTTCTGGTGTCAAAGTGACTTTCTGCCTGCATGGGATTAGTCAGTCTAGAATTACATCTTGACCTATATTATGGGCGCGCATGGAACGTGAATCTTTTAAGATAGGAACGTAAAGTTTCTGCCTACTATTTGAGAATTTAGGCCACAAGACCCGCCACTTTATTAGAGCAGTTTGCGTGTTACTCGTTTCACCTTTAGGCAACGAAAGCAAACCACCCCGAGCACCTGTACTATTAATCGCTACAGAAATATTGCATTCGCATTCCCAGTTACTCTTGTTTTCTTCCTCTATCATAGGAGGAGTTGAAAGTAGTGTTTGTGTTGTCTCCTATCCATGTGATTTAAGTACGGATTGTTTTTCTTTGAATTTCCACTAAAAATGGCAACTTTGGCCTTTTAAACTGTTTCTGCGAGGACTTTTCTTTCCACCAGCCTTGTTTTCCAGATAGGTCTTGGAAATTACGAAGAACACAGCTATGATTTCTATGTTGATTGGCAGCTGACAGCTTTCCCGAACAAAAATAAGGCTACGCCGTGCCAAATGGTTGACTTTTCTAGAATAAAAACTCTAAAGGGTATGCAAAAAGTCCTCTGGTTAATATATTGGCATTCCCAGAACCCACTAAAACTCCGGCAGCCTGCCAGACACCACTTAATGAGGATGCAGAATGTCTGGCTCAAATCCCCA